TTCTTATTTCCTCTCCATTTTACTGTACTGCCAACTCATCCACCACACCAGCACTGTTATGTTTTTTCTCTTGCCTACGGCCAACAGAGACTACAGAAGTAATCTTGAGAATATCAATCTTCTCTTAAAAGCCACATCAGAGATGGAATTATTTGAAACACTACACCAATGAAGTCAAAGCCCAGCAACAGTCAAATTCTGTGAGCACTTGTGGAGCTGGTGCACTTTTTTCGGGCACTTTTCTGCTTAATGCAAAATGATACTTAAACTTTTCTAGTCTAACCAAAACTGATTAATTTAGAAAAATGGAGTCTAGAAGAGCAAGGGGACATTTAAACAACCTTCCAAGATCCTGCTGCTGCTTGTGCAGACCCATCAAGAACTCATCAGAAAGGAAACACTGATTAAATCTGAACTAACTTGATCTCTAAAAGGCAAGAGCTAGATGCAAAACTGCAAATATTAACTGTGTCCATGAAGTCCATCTCCAAAACGGTAACTCTCCTGGCCAAGTCACCAGCAGCTTCATTTCCAGAGGTACAAGGCACCTACAACTCCATTCAGCAGTAATGTTCAGTGCTATGGGAGCGTTGAGCTTTTCCCCTCTCTCTGTTTTAGTGCACTTACCGTAGTTTACGCTCATCTCCCTGCTGTGAATGTCATGAGGTTTAATTAGTTTTGGTCTATAAAACACACCGTGTTCCCCCAGAAAAGCTGTATATGCATGCACAGTAGGATCCCTGCAAGATAATTTTCTTGGCATCCCCAGAGTAACCAGCACAAGCAGCCAGAGGAGAAGTCCAAAGACAAGGTACTCGAAGTACTAAACTGTCTGCAATCCTGATCTGTATCTGGAGGATCAAAAGTATCAGGGGCAGCATTTTGATGCAACACATGCTGAAACTGGTGTGGGAGTTTTACAGAAGAGTGCTGGCAAAACCATTCTCATCAGCATCTTTCAACAAAGATGAAGTCAAAAAAGAACCCCCCCTTAAAACGGAAATAACAGGAGGAAAAAAATGGAAATCAACAACACAATCAACAAAAAATCAACAAAAGCCCATGTGGGTTTTTTAAATATTCCAAATAGCTTAAAGTTGCCCAGGCTTCTGTATTGATTAATTGCTCAGGACAAAGATTTATTTATTTATGGACCAGGAAAGAATTCCCAGCTTGGAATCTTTCCAAAGAACAACCCTCCCCAGTTCTGCATGGTCACCCTGGCCAACTTGTCCTGCCATTTCTTATTCTGATGCTAATGCAGTTCAAACAACCCAACCCTGCATTTTTTATCTATGCAATAAGCCTATCTTTAGGTCACTTAGTTGTGTCAGTTTAAAACACAACATTCCCACAGAGAAAAATCTAATCATTTTATTTTCTTCTGGGGACAGAGAACGGAGAAGGAAAAAAAAGTTAATTATAAAAACGTGCTTTTTTTTTTCTTTGTGGTGCCTAATTCAAGCCCAAATTAAATCTGCATGAATTTAAAAACCAGTTGAACCATGAGAAACAACCCATTTTAACTGAGACTCACACAGCTACCTTCAAGACAGGATACCCTGAAAATATCTGACCATGCAAAAGCATATCATGTTATATAATTATATATATATTACTAGGTCTTATACAAAGTTTGCTGGAATAAAAGCCAAGATCACATTGATCTCTGTGGGCTTCAGATCTCTCTGTCTTGTAAAATAAGCCTGGATTCTGCCACTGGCTTTCACAAGCATCCTCATGGGGACATTCACAGGGCTTCTCACAAGAAGGAAAAACCATGAAGTTGAAGCCGTTCATGAAAGGTACTGGATTTATTCCAGATGTGGAACTGTTTTCAATTAATTTGGAAGCATTTGAAGTATTTCTCATTAAATATGCTTTGCATTTCACACATGCACGTAAGAGAGTAAGAAAACCCAAAACTGAAGCCACAGTCATAATGTCTTATTAAAAAGACTCTGACACCACTTTTAGCAAAATTAGGCTCACATGAAGACAAGAGTTACAGCACTGCTGTTACACATCACATCGATATTCAAGGCAAATGGTTTCTGCTTTGCCCATCTCCAGAAAACCTCACTTTGAGCTGGAGGACTCACTGGTTGGGAGCTCTCCCACCTCCACCCTGCCCTGCACCTCTCTGCACAGGACACTTCCCAGTCTGCTCAGCCCCATCACCCAGGGCTGTAATTTAGGTTCAAGGTATCTGTCCTCTAGAAGAGGATGAAACAGCTTATAGAAAATCTGTGGGACAAATCATCATTACTGGTAAAAATTTTGCAATCTAGGAGCATACCACAGTCATCTACAGATGTGAGAAACAAACACAAAACTTAGACCATCTTTTCTCAAGTTCAGAGCACAAAGCTCCAGCACAGGGACACAACAGTGACTATGGATGCTTGCACCAAGGCTGGACCCACTCCCGTCCAAGCCAAGCCAGATGCAGCTTGTGCATAGTGACATTCAAGCCCATATAGAAAACCACAGACCCTCCAGCACAGACAAAGAATACACACATTTCTACCATATCTAAACTTGTAAGGGGACACCCTGTCACCGCAGAAGCGCGGCGTTCCTTGAGGAAAAGGGCGCGTTATCAGCCCATGCCACGCCCCACTCGGGCACTGCTGGTGCTCCCGGCACCCCGAAGATCCAGGTTAGGTCGAGTATTTCCACCGCACGCTGCAAAGTTCTACACAGACACCATCGCACCCGGTGTTCCGCGGTCACAAACATTAACATAACGCAGCTCTTGTCTCCCCTCTAGTGGCTGACCCACCGGCACCGCTCGCGTGGCTCTGCTGGCGCTGCCGGCGGCGCCAAGGGCCGGAGCGTGTCCCTTGGCAAAGCCACCACGGGCTGAGCTCCTTCACGTCCCCAGCCCGGGCTCATTGCCACGGTCAGCAATGCTGTAGCACAAGGCAGAAATGAGCAAACTCTGGGCAGAAGCACAGCTCTTCCACTGGAGCCCAAGATTCCCAGTTCTGACACCAGGTGCATTTACTATGGAGAACCACAGTTAAGTCCAGAACACATTTATTATTATTATTATTTCTCAAAGACCTGAAATAATCACGTTATTTGGTGACTACAAAGCACTCAAACTTTTCGTGCCCAAAGATTAAGTTTTGTATCAGACAACAATGGTTTTGTCACCAAAGGTCAAATTTAATTCTAGTGATCAGCAGGGAAGTCAATGATCTCTAATCAATTTTACCAACCACTGTCAAACTCTGTGTGATGCTCTCTTATTCAAAACTAGCATATAAAGCTTTCAAAAACCCATAAACTTCACATTTCTTCACAAATGTTTTTTTTTTTTTTCCTCCCCCCCCTTAAAAAAACATGCAGGAACATTCAAGTTTCTTTCCTTTGGTTGCCAGTGCTAAAATATGCTAACAGCATTAAGGCAAGGGACGACTTGCAGAGCTCACAATCTGTATTCAGCATAATTAGCAGATGCCAGTTTAACTTATTACTGCTTCTTCCTTTCTATATTATAAAAAGGATGAAAGCCTGTTATCTAAATGACTGTTTTCTCACTGCTGATACAAAGCAACAATCACAGGAAAATAAAGTCACAGAGCATGTGAAAGGAAATACCTGATTTTGAAATGACATTATCAACAGCTACAGTAAAGAAAGAAATTAGTGCCTGCAGACAGGACTTTCTTCCTTCACACTTCACATTTTCAGACTGTTTTTAAACTAATTGCTACTTGGTGGCATTCCTAGTTATTCAAATAAGCAATGCAACATTCAAGGTAGAGAGATATTATTAAATGAGGCTGTTCAACTGTCTCAGCCAATGATCATTTCACAGCATGAGAAATGAACACCCAGAAGATGCACTTTCTATGCAGCTAACAGCTAAGAAGTAAGAACAAAATACCTGTGAAAGAAACCAAGGCAAACGCTAAAAATCAGCCTCAGCTAAGGGGACAGTTACAGAGTGCACTTCTGCTTGCAAAGCTGAAACACATTTTACAAAACAAAGCCCTCTTGAACTAAGAGGCTGTTGAAAGATGCATCCAGCACATACACACAAAAAAGCAGTGCACAACAGGGTTGTGGATTAAACAGGTTTCTAAGACATAAACTATATAATGACCCAGTCCTGGCACCATTTGCTGCTACTTCTGCTTGGTGAAGAGAGATACCTCCCTGCTAACATTCCTGCATATTACAATGCAGTGCACAAAAAAATACATAATAAATTCTAATAAACTATCTTCTGACTCTTAGGGCTAAGTTGAAAAGCCTTGTAAGGCTATGCTTCTCCACAGCTTTAATCAATTTCAGCTATAACTTCATTTGTTATGCCTAACAGACAGTGTAAACTTCACCCTTCCCAAGAATTAAGAAAAAAAAACATTTCATATTCTCCCACAAGCAGGGTATGCAAAGCACAAAACAGAACCACTGCCCACATACCCCCAGTTAAAATTGTTCTCTGTGGAAACTAATAACTTTCCACACTATGCACTGTAATCCAAGTAATAATTTTAAACAGCCATAAGCTGCAGTGTGCTGAACTAAGGCATTCTTACCTTGCAAAGAGTGCTTGAAGACATTTAGTTACAATAAAAGAGGAGAACATGCCCGTTGCCAAGTATTTCCCATGGAAAGGGGATACACTTTACCCCACACATGCGCACGCACACACCGACTGGGTGCGTGTGCTTCCTAGGTAGATAGAGAAGGAGGACCAGAAGAGATAAGCAGCAGTGATAATGCCCAAGCTTTATGTCTCAATCAGTAGCAAGTAAAGCTAGAAGTACCATTTGCGATGAAAGGGGGAAAAATCCCAAGAAATAAGATATATTTTTTTTCTCCTCTGGATGCAAAGAGCTTTGGTTGGTTGACCTATAATACCTTAACACAAAATTCTTCATAATCCACCCCCCTCCTGAGCCAGTTAGTTGCACATGTCAAGTGACACTGCACAAACAATGCACAAAGACTTCAACAAAAAATATTAAAGAATCCCTTACCTTTTAGTCAGAGTAAGTGACAGATAACAGGCACAAGAAACTCAGTTGGCACAGTTGCTGTACATATTTCTCTGTGGACTTCTCTGTAGTGGTCCCAAAAGCACTGAACATAAAAAAACTCCAGCCTGCCTGTTTCATTCTTCAGCAACAGAGATACATGCTGTCACGGTAATGTGAAAAAGCAAAAAGAACTACAGATCATAGTTTTTAAAGCCTTTGTGCTTATAGGGAAGAAAAAGAGGGAGTGGGGAAAGAAGGAACAGAGCAAACACTTTTTCTAAGAGAAATCTGGTCTTGGCTGTAGAAGTAACCACAGCACAGAATTACCCAGTTTGAATTTCCCTGTTTGCAACCTCCTCGGGAAAAAAAAATAAATAAAAAAAAAATAAAAATCAGTCTTTAGAGAAAAAAAATCAAATGCATGGATGGGGGGAAGGGAGAGGAGGAGGGTACTGCTCCTATGTGACATACATATGGAATGAGCATTAGAACAATGCTGACAGGACAGCTAAGCAACTGCACTCTGGGGCAGCAGTTTTCAAAGCAAGAGCTTTTGCAGCTTTGCAGAAAGGAGAAGAAAACAATTAAAAAAAAACCACCAAAAACCCTCTGCAAAGGGAAAAAAAAAAAAAGGGAAAGAAAAATAATAGAAAAGAAAAGGAGCTGTTAATTCAAGAACTATCGGACTAAAACCAAATTTAAAAAATTAGTTGCCTAATTTCTGAAAGCGGGGGGGGAGGGACGGGTGGGAAACACCGCGACTGCTTCCCAGCGATGCAAGCAGCAGCCTTGATGTCTAGTGCACTTACATTTTATGCGGCGCACAGTGGGTCCCCTCCTCCTCGCCTGCCTCCCTCCTTCCCTCCCACCCTCCCTTCTTCCCTCCCTCCGCCCTCCCTGCCAAGGAAGCTCTCCCTCCCAGGAGACAAGAATTCCAGAGGACCCAATTAACACTGTACTTTGCTGGCTCCTTGGTATGATCGATATTAAATAAGCTGAGTTTTAGCAGCACTGAAAAATAAAGCAGCCATGTAATGTGTGGCTGATGGAGGCGGCTCCCCCCCCCAACTTCCCTACTCCCCCAGTCTCAAAGCGATCCAAAGCAGAGGAAAAAAGAATTAAAAAGCATGTGCCAGCGCCAGTGACACACGCTGCATCAGAGATTTCTTAGAAACTTGATGGAAGTTGAACATCGGTTGCTCATTTCACTAGCTTCAGCAGTACTTTAATAAAGTGGATTTACAAATCAATGGAAGGAATCCAAAGGTTCACAAACAGGCTCTTTCATCAGGTCTGCTGCCTGACCGTACAGGAAGTTTGCTGAAGGGGTCTGGGGGCTGTTTCACCAGCACACTTGTTTTCAATGGACTCCCAACAACATGACTTGTTTGGTTTGGGGAAAGAAATTCAGTAAGAGGTTCGCTGCTTTAAGGCAATACAGCCTAGTGTGTTTATTGCTTCATTCCTGCAGCATGTGTGACAAGGCACTCTACAAATTGCAAATTATTTTAATTTGAAGAGGGAAGTGGTTGGGAGGCAGTAACCTTCTTTGGTCCTGTTTTCCCTGATCTATCAATCACAGATTGCCATGTAAAAACAATCTACTACAGGCTCTCTCTATAGAGGAAAAGCAATTACTAGCATTAACTCTTGCAGTTGCAAATTAATACAATACAGTCCACAGCTGATAGAGTCTGCCTGCAAGCTATTAATCCAAGAATAAATGAATGGTTTGCTTAAATCCAACTGCTCTGAAATTCTCAGGTTAAGAGCTCCCCTTCCCCTTTCCATAATTCTATTTGTGTTTGTGAAGCTTAGTGGAAATAAAAGAAAACCATATTTATATGCTGGGGCCAGGATAATTCTAGGCTAACAATACCTATCAGTGAACCTGCCTACAAATACAGGATTTCACCACCAGTAGCTGCTTCTCCTCTTTTTATTCTGGGATGGCCATAATCTTCAAACCAAAACAAATAAATAGCAGTGAGCAAGATGCTGGACTGAACAGCTGGGTTGACCAGTGACTTGAATCCACCTTGCTAAATTAATACGAAATTGCATTTCCATAGAACCAAAAATTATTTTCATCAGAGAAGACAGGACATGGGGCAATGGTTTTAAATTGAGAGAGGGGAGATTTAGGTTAGCTATTAGGAATCAATTCTTCACTATAAGAGTGGTGAGGAACTGGAATGGGTTGCCCAGGGAGGTTGTTGATGCCCCATCCCTGGACGTTTTTTAGGCCAGGTTGGACAAGGTTTTGTGCAACATGGTCTAGTGGTAGAGTTCCCTGCTCATAGCAGGGGGGTTGGAACTGGATGGTCTTTAAGGTCTCTTCCAACCTTAATGATTCTATGATTCTAAAATACTCGTAAAACCATGCTATGAAAGGCAGTGAAGAGTTAAATTAATTAACTCAAAAAGCCTCAAATTAAATAATGTTATGATTTTCCCCCTAGCAGAGGGAGGAAAAAACCCAACAGCAGGACAAATACTACTAGTTAGTGACTACTAGTAGTAGCGCCAAATGCTGGTGCTGTTTGACACAAATTCTTCATGATGCCTAAAGATCACTGACAGATAAATGTGGAGTATGCAGAAGTCCTACCAAGCAGACAACCATCCCAACAGATATAATGAACCAAAAAAAGGCTTTTTTACATGGGAAGACAACAAAAAAAGCAGATAAATTGCTTATGCACGTGAAGTCCATGTTGCCTCAGCTACAGCAGTTCCAGGCTCCTGTACACTTGACGAAGATGCCACATGTTGCATGTATTGACTTAAATACAATCTAGTAGTTTGCTTTTTGGTGCAAGAAGGGTCAGAGAAGTCCCACTGAGTAACACAACACTTAGCAGAGCAACACTGTGTCAAAATTCGAACGTGAGGAAAACACAAAAGCATTTAAACATTTAAAGGAAATAACCAGAAATAACACAGTTTCATAGCCATTATTGACTAAGTATCACAGTATAACAACCATACTGGATTGGAAATGAGATACAGATATTGCTGGTAATACCAACCTAATAGTCCAGTGTCTGCAAAATTACATTCAGCCTTCTACTCTAAACTAGGGAGCAATGTGAATTACTTAAAGTGTCCCTGAAAGTGGCCTCAACCTTGTACAGGATATCTACCTCTGTAAGGGGATCAAAACTCTTAGAAAGTGCTTTGGGGTCGCAAGTGAGTGAAAGAACATTTCATCTACCACAGAAAATGTACCCACTTTCCATGAAAGCATGAGACATAAAGCCAAGCTCCAGCCAGGAAAGCTGAAAGGCTCCAGAAAAGTTCTGCAAAAAAAGGAAAACATCCTCAAAGAGCACCTGGCAATGTCCCTCTTACCCACAACTACAGTCATAAGCTGTTGATGAGTTTAAGCCCCATCTGAGAAAAGGCAGAGGAAACTCACCCTAGCAATCAATTTACACAAAACCCATCATAATAAGGATATAATCCACTGAATACATCCAGGACAAAGAGGTCCAGTGGGTACCTACATTTTGGGAAAGGCTAAGGTTTACAGCTGCCAAGGGGATCATAAGTGCTCTTGGAAGCCATAAATAATCCATCAGTCGATCTGTCATCTCAACATTCCTAGGCACTAGGAAAGTCTTTATTATCCCCATTTAAGAGATGATGATTTGAACACTGAAAGCCTAAACTGCTTCCCCAAGGAGATGCAAGAAGTGCTTGAGAATAGCAGGGAACTGAATCCATGCTTTTCAAGTCCCTTATCTGCAAAGACTGTTCTTGTTTCAAGCACAAGCAAGTGAATTTGACATATTTTGAAAGTCAAGTTATTTGTTCCTTAAAAAAAATTCTAGCATCATTCTAGTCTACTCTTAACTATGAATAAAAGCACAGTTCACAGTTATTTACAGAACTCCTGTGCTGTGTAAGAAATCTGCATGTGTATACAGTTACAAGTTTTATTCTAAATGAAAATCCGTAATTCACATTTTTTTACTAGAAAATGATTTTTAAATTATTCCATAATTAAGACTTACAATCCCAGTTTGACAGGACATCTCAGCCCTCTGGGGAACTACACAGAAGGACACCTCATATGTGTGAAGGAAAACAAATAGAAAACATTTTTCAAAATAGACAAGTAAACCAGTATCAGAATTAATCAGAATCAGGTTAATGCCTGGTGAAAGGAAAAAATCTTAATGCCACAGTGAAGATCCTGGCCTCTTGCAACTGCAGAAAAACCCTTGCTGCAGCTGGAGGCAGGGAAAGAAGCATTCATTGCCTGCCTTGACCTGGGTGAGAGGAT